GCGGTCTCGAGAACGAAAGTGGACACATGAGTCGTAGAAACGGAGGTAAAGGAAAAATCTAAAGGAATCGACAAACAATAAATATTAATTGGTGAAGAACTTGCAGCACAGCCAGATGACGTCGAAGATGATGTTACCGTGATGTAGAACTAGCGTTGATCAACGTAGAGATTAACAGAAAAGGCGAACACTCGCAACAGAAGCTCTCGCTCTATGCAAGAAATGTCAATTGTTACACATCTCGGATACCAATTGATTGTCGTTGGGTAAAGGCTACAGAAACACAGCGATTTGTAGCGCGCGAATGCACTCGGAACCCGTTAACGGAATGATTCAGGACTCGAGAGTAAATGGGATCAAAGGCTAGACAATCGGAGCGAATGGGAGCGAACACGTGCGGCGGGAACCTGCCCACGGGGACCAGAAAAAGTCCCCCAGTGAAAGTAAACGGAGAAAATCACGCAAAGCACGATAAGATTGGGGAACGAAGAGTCGACCAGGTGAAGCGTAAACGTTGGTGAAAAAATCGCGTTCGAGATGGGATCGCGGCAAACCCCCATGGCGGCGTTCAGATATATCGGCGGTACGCCAAGAACGCGACGAGTGGTATGCAACCGAGGTAAGTGCAACGTCGATTGATAGCGCGCCCCCTTATCTATAAACCATTTCCAGTTTTTCTCCCTCGGTTATCGCGCTCCAACGGCGGATCGGCGCGAGCGGAGAATTCTACGATGTTATTTACGGCTGATTAGCGGGCTCAATAACTCCCTTCCGTGTTACTTTATTGAGGCTCCATGATCTGGCGAGCAATTTCCACGCGATTTATGGCGTGAGATGGAACGATACCACGAGCTACTCTTGGATCGCCTCGACTCTCGTATGCAAACAGAGATCTCTGGAAAGAAGCGAAAAAACGTTCGTTTCCTTGGAACTTGCCGCGCAGAATCTGGATCTCTCAATTCAGCAGCAGCGGTTTAAAGAAAATACACGGTCTGTCTAAAAAGAAACCGAACTTTTGCTATGAAAAGAAAAAAGTACAAGTAAAGTTTTTACACACACGTTTATTTACTCAAAATAATCTCCCTTTGCGTCAATACAACGTGTAGACCACGTAATTAACATTTCGAAGGACCTTTGCAGCTCCTGTTTTGGTACCCCGTTGAGTACGGCGGTTACAGTGGCCCGAATCTCCGAAATGCTGCTATAATGTGTCCCTTTCATTGGAATTTTCAATTTTGGGAAAAGAAAATAATCGCAGGGAGACAGATCAGGCGAGTAGGGTGAATGATCCAAGCTAACAATGGCAATTCCAATGAAAGGAATACATTATAGGAATATTTCGGAGATTCAGGCCGCTGTAACCGCCGTACTAAAAGGGCTACCAAAACAGGAGCTGCAAAGGTCCTGCGAAATGTTAATTACGTTGTCTACACGTTGTAATGGCGCAAATGGAGGTTTATTTTGAGTAAATAAACGTGTGTGTAAAAACTTTACTTGTACTTTTTTCTTTTTATAGGAAAAGTTCGGTTCCTTTTTAGACAGACCGTATAGGTACTATTAGACACTTGGTGGCGAGTGTTTGATCGATTACGCGCAGTTTTGCTACAAAAACTCTGTCGTCATTAGCATATTACAAAGGAATACTCTTTCATCGCGTCAGAAAGGCCAGAGCGCAACAGCATAACTGGAAATCGGTTTCCAATGTCTCACCAGTCTCCTCTATAGTAATGGGGTCCGTTTGTACACCGTGAAACGGAAACGGTCCTCTTGACCCGCATCCATCACGGTTGGCGTCATCGACGTTTCAATCGATGACCTCGGGGACCATGTATCTCCGTTCAGTATCTGCCCCCGGCCGTTTCATCGACTTTTCCACGGTGGACATCCGTTGGAATGGATTACGAGGCGTTGTCTGTTCGAGACGGATGCATAATTCCATCGCTCGCACGCGGATAGCGCTGTCGCGTCACCGTAAGCGCGCGGGTTCTTCAGGAATGTCGAACGGTTCGGTCACAGGGTTAATGCCTGGGGCCTGGCCACCTCGCGTGCCTCAGGCTTTCCTCTCCGGTTGTATCTCATTTGTAAAGATTCCGGGACAAAGGAGCCAAGGCGGAATCGTCTTTATGGATCTGCGGCCGCGCTTGACCCGAGGTGGGGCCCCCCTTTGGCTGCTGGACAGACAGAAGCGCGAGTCTGTCAAGTGGCGTGATTCTAATCTGACAGGGACGTATCGGCTGGTGGGGGCCCCTCTCTTTGGGCCCGTGCAATCGGGAATAAGCTCGGAGACCGAGCATTTACGATGCATCGAACGACGACCATTTCCATGAGTTTCGAGCAACGAATCGCATTAGCGCCGTCGATCGAGCTGCTTGATCTTTCCTCGGATTTTCGTGTCTGACACTGCCATTGGTCGTGGACGTTAGGTAGCCTCGGTTCATTTACATTTGGCGGAGGTTCTTAAACCTTTGGCGCGTTGTCAGGTCGGTTTGGGATTTTTAGATCAGTGGGATACGCGTTTTAGATATTTTTAGATCGTAGTTGTTGGTAAGTGAAGACTAGGAAATGAGTTGTGGAGTGAAGTACGGAGAATGGTTCTATTCGGGTGGGGACTTGATTTATCGAGTTCACCGGAAGCAATGGCGGACAGTGCACCGAGTTGGTATCTAGAGTGTACAGTGAGTTAGCGTTTGTATTTCCTAGGACAAAATGTTTTGGGATCCTTGTTTAGATTATTTGTACAACTAGTGGAGCAAGTGTATTATTAGAGACCTGTCGGGCTGAGATCTCCTAATTGATGTGCTACTGTATTTATTTTACGACTTCCAGTCGCGGGTTTAATTGCAATCTTTGTGCGAATGCTTATTATAGCTGACCTTTCTATCCCACCTCGATCCCGTACAAGGTTTGACATTGTTCGCGCTGATCACCACCGTGTCTCATATGGGCGATTTAATTGCTTAAATTGTTAAGAATTATTGCCAACGGGTAATTATCATTTAGTCGGTTGCGTTTCTTGTTCGATTGGCGAGCTAAGTGTTCTGTCACTTTGGGTATCGCGTAAAAACTTGTTGATCGTTTTGTCAATCATTTACTTCATTTAATTTTACTTCCAAACGTGGATATCGTATGATCTGAAATCTGATATGTAAATTAAATTGAGTAGTAATAACAAGGTGATCAAATGGTGGAAGTGTAAATAAAAAATGTACTGTAGTTCAACAAATCAGGGAAAAGTCAAGTCGGTGTACTAGAACGTTCGTGACATACTTGTCTTCAACTGACTGCACATATTTTATTATTTGAGCCGTTCACTGCACAAATCGATTAACTCCACTTTTCAAAAAATCTTAAATTTGAATATCAAAGCACTTAGTATGGTCAACATTTTATACTTATAATAACTTTCCTGAATAATAAAAACTAACACCAACGACAAAATTTCGTTGGGCATTGAAAAATAAATAATTTATTTCAGAATTATTTATTTTTTGTTTTATGGAGTTAATCGATTTGTGCAATGAACATTCATTTATGAAGAAATAATAGATGTATCGTGCATACATTGCAACAGCAGGTCCAATTATTTAAAAGAGTACCAGATTCCCTTCGTCGACCGAGTTAAAAAAGGAGCTTCGCGAACAGGACTAGAAAGCCTTCGATTAACTCGGTCGTTGAAATCGCTACCGAATAAAACAAGCTGTTTCGTTAATCAATTGGGAATATCGGGCGCCGAGATCGCTGGTATACCTGATTCGCGAGGCTTCTTCGTCTTGTTTCAACAAGCCCCGTGAAATATCGTGGGACCGTTCAGGTATCGACGAACACGACGGACTTCCGTCCGTCCCTCAACAGAAGTTCTTGTAAAAAATAATTGTCCCTGATTATTCATTGCGACGGGCGCGTCCAACGACGTCGCTTGTACGCTAATGTCGTCTATTACTTACCCAGCCGCGACCCTCGGAAATCCTGGACGATCTTCGACCAGCATTCCCTCTCGTCGAAAAGGAAAAATCGGAGAACACGGGGAACCGATGAAATTATTTATCACCCACGTCGACGAGCTTTATCTCTGATCTTTTCGTTCTCGATCTCGCCCACGACTCGAAGGACCTTTTCAAGTTTCTTTTCTCAAGATCTCCGGAGTCCAACTTTTCTCGTGACACATACTTTTGGAGCGGAGGAAAAGTCTTTTAATGCAGGAAGTAAAGTAAATAACGTAACGTAAATCTCTGTATTTCTAGTTGCTTTAATTTTTCATGGCTGAGGTCTTCTCCAAGGAATTACATACTTTTCTTTCATTTATCATTTTATACTTAACATAAAATTTTATACAATCTTTAAACAATTTTCCTAAGGTTTCAAGTTACAAAGTTTTCTGACCTCTGTGTGGTGCACTTGGACAGGGTAGAACTTTTCCGAGCCCTCAAATATCGGCTCCAAAACGTTAAGGACTTAATTTCAAGATCTTAACGCGTCGAAACATGTAAATATTAAAAAAGGTAGATTGTTCAACGAACCAGATCCATGCAGGAATCGCGTTAACGGTCACCACTTACCGCGCAGCACACGCACCGCGTTTACTGTATAACGTAGGCGTGGCTCGTTTGATATCAACGATGGCCACCTTTCGACTGTAAATCAATCGATATCACGGCTGCGGGAGGGGCTTTTCATGGGGTTTGCACGAGCCTGAAATACGGTGTCGGGGGTGGAAGCATGCGCCAAATGCTGAATGCGAATCGACCCGCCTCGAACCTTTTATCCCGACACCGTTCGTCTCTTGGTCGTCTTTCTCTCTTGCCTTCCACGCGTCTGTTACGCGTCGTCGATGCGTTTCGATAAACATCTGGCTCGATTGATTTCGTTGGTCGCGTTAATTGCCTCTAGCTTTCACCAGGCGCGTCGGCGACTCGATTTCGTTTTCTCATTTCAAAGTGGGGTACGGAGGAATGGAGCTGAACGGATGCAACTCTGGGAGTTCAATTCAAGTTCAATTTTAAACAGGATTAGCCTTCCTAGAATTAATATCATAAAATAATGTTTCTATAGAACAACATCGAAGGGCACAAATACTGTACAACGGTAATCTAAAATTACAAACTCTGGTGGGAAGATATGGCCAGGTTCGAACATCGAAATACACGGATGTCCCCGAAAAGGGAAAAATGGTATCGTGTTCGCCGCCAGCGAACAGGACGTTAATTACCCGGATGATTCGGTTCCCCAGTGCCGGCGTAATTATTTAATCGGGTTTCTATCTGTCGACGGTGTCGTCGTCGGTGCGTTTGGGAACGAATCGTGCGGATCAAAGGAACGGGTAGGATCGGTTCGAATATAAAACAAGTCGTGATACGTGGCTCGCGATAGTGGGAATATTTAATTCGTTTTTTTTTTTTTAAATAATCCTTACAAGGTATAAGTACTCGATATCGTATCGAGCGTTCCGCATAGCATAGGTAAATAAATAACTGAATTACTTTTAAACAGTCTATCGAGACGACGTTCTCGCTAAGTTGCGCTTTATTTACACGACGGTTTTATCAATTTCGTGCGTACCTATACACAGGTACGTCTTTTCTATTTACTTCTCTCCATATATCTTTATATATATATATAAATTCTATTGCACATCGCAATTGTACGATATCTTACATTTTTACAATAAATTAACGGAATAAAACTAGCTTCACATCCTCCCCCTCACACGTTCTTCGTAAAACTCTCTCATCTCTGCTCTAAATACTGGTTCGTTCAGAGAATGACGATGACTGTTTTCGACCTGACGTCCATCGAGATAACTGTACAAATGGCACTGTACAACCCGTTCCGATACGCTCGTCGAAATTGTTCTTTCTTCTTCCTCCCCCCCCTCCCTCTCCCCATCCCCTCGTCTTCGTTTAAATATCGAATTATGAATTGCTAGGAACGTGCGTGCTAAGTCTTTTGAGGAATGACGATGATGTCTATCATTCGCCGCGAATCTTGACTCCGGTAACTCACGAGCTTTCCACTTGCTATTCGTCGACGCGCGCGAGTCAGGTCGGGCTCGATTATCGAGCAGGAAGCTCTAACAACAACGAATATCGTCGGAATTCGTTCGAGGTTCGTCCACGATCGCGACAACGTCGATTCGCCGCTCAAGGCCACGTAGGAGTCATCCCCACCACACCATTTGGTTCCCCACCTCTCCGTGCTGCGTGCGCAAAGTCACGATGGGGGAGTGGCCTTGGCGATCGAGTGACTTTAAGGACGCAGTCTGGCAATTTCAGATCAAAAATTTAATAAGGAGCAACTAAAACAGTGAAATATACAGTCAGTCCATAAATATTCGTAGCCTCTGCGTTTATTGAAGGAATTTGTCTGATAGTTTCGATGTTTCCAAATAAATTTTTCATTATATACATATATATAAGTGTAAAGTTTATTCATGTACATACAGTGGGTGTAGAAGGTATTCGTACACTGATCAATTTCTAAAAAATCTATGTAAAATTGTAATTTATTAACTTATTTTTGATAAACAATGACATTCTATATATTCTTGGAAATCTCTAGAATAGATAGAGTACAAAAAAATAGCTATTTATGTAAGGTGCGAAATTAACAAGAAAAAAACAATTAATCGATAGAAAAATTGAAGCAATAATTATTCACACAACTGTTTAATTTTTAAAATTTGATTAAAAAAAAAACGAAATTTACATTAATTTATAAGTATATAATACTTCCTTCGTGGGATTTCCTTTTGATTTCATAATTATTGTAACTTTTCTAAGGATTAAATTAACTAAATTATTAGTTATTCCAAGTGGGATCTTCTTCAATTTCTCTATTAGAGCCATTTTTTAAAAGTACAATACTTTACTGGAAATTTAATGTTTTCTAATTCGTACGGAGTAATAAACTAATGTGTTTTTACAAATTCTACTGTAAATGGTTCGTCATAAGAATCGTAGAAATACTTATCACTTCTATACTTTTACCCACTTTTCGCATTATTTTGTTAATTTCACAAATTATATTAACTAGTAAATGTTGTTTGGACTATTTCCGAGAGATTTCCGAGAATATATAAAATATCATTGATTATAAAAAAAGAAGTTAAGAAACTACAATTTCATACAAAAGTTTTTTGGGAAATTGATCGGTGTACGAATACATTCTACACCCACTGTATTTATAACGAAACATTTATTTGAAAAGATCGAACCTATCGTTTAATTTAGACAGACTTTTTTAATAATCACAGAAAGTACGAATATTTACGAGACTGGCTGTATCTCGGTAATCTAAGTAAAAAGGAGTACTTGTCTACTAATTTTTATTTTCATTCAGATCTTGCTTGTATTAAAAGAGAAACTGACAAAGAATCCATAAATTTCGATCGAAAATACCAGAATGACCCCCGGATCCGACCGTAGTCAGTGGCACTAGTATCCTTAACGAAATAAATACCCCAGTCTACCGTACGAAAAGTAAACACGATGACTCGTCGAAACTTGCTTCGAAATGACGAAAAACGTTTGATCTTTGGATTGTGTATCGCCGTGACTTTTCGTGGAATGTAAAGGAGGAACGCTGTATATTCGCACACTTACAGGACATTGTTAGTATCCTCGTCGCGACCATCGAGCGGAATGTCATCCCAAGGAGAACGTCCTTGGTCGACTATCGAGACACTTCGTTCCTCCTTTTCCCTACCGATGGGAGACTCGAAACGGCGTTCGTTCCACGTTCGTAGTCTCACGGATCGTTGACGGATCTAAGCCGAAGGGCCGATCTTATCGTCATCATTTCGCTTGAAGTTCGGCGGCCTGCTTCTCTTCCTCCTTGGTCAGGGGTACCGTCGAGTGATTGTAGAGGCCCTCGGCCATCAGCTGTAGCTGCAGGGGATTCTTCTGGCCGCTGGCCTTCTTGATCTTCGCCCTCTTGTTCTGGAACCAGATCTTGATCTGCGCCTCGTTCAATCCTAGGTCCCTCGAGAGCTGTTGCCTCCTTTTCTCGGTGAGGTATCGGTTCTCCGCGAACTCCCTCTTCAGCCTCGCTAGCTGCTCCCCGCTGAACGCCGTCCTCGGTCTCTTCTCTTCGGGGGTGCCCGTTGTGCTGCGGCTGTCCGACCTCTTCACCCTTCTCGTTCGTGGACCTGAAACACGGGAGGATCCTAACGTTAGCTGCTATCTGCCGATATGTTCGACGGAACGTAAGACTAGCGAAGTACCATTGTCCTTGGGAGGTCTGGGTTCAAGTTACACAAGTCGAATGATCAAGGGGTTCCCACTCGTTTTAATATTCCGAGAGGTGAAGTTATAAGACAGTTTCACAGCGACTTGATATACTCAACTAGGGAAGGATGATGTTATTTATTGGGTATTTAGGACTTGAGAGTGTGCAGCGATTTTTATATACATGGATTCATCAGTGATTACTTTGATTGCTACTCGATCTACAATTAACACGATCCGCGCTATGTGTATCACCGGTGGTACACGACGAACTTGGTCATCAGGTCACGTGTCCCACTGGTAGTACATGCAGACATATTTATTTGATTCGCTGAAACATATATTTTATGACAAATTTAATTCTGTAAAATATATTTTCACTAAAAGAACGAAGCATGAGTGATACAGCAAGTGATAACTGCTCTAAATAAGTTAACTACTTATGGATTGACGACGTAATGAAATATTGTGTGGTAATATATATGAATCTTTAGTTAAAACATCAAATGGCCTGAACGAGAAGTCGGGCGAAAACGGCTTGACACGAAACGTGTTACATATACCTTGCCCAACACCGATGCACGGAGATCTCGTTTGAAGCAACAGAATTGTTCCACTGATAGCCTGACACTCATATGTCCTTAAATGTCCTTGATCTCCAATAAATACTCAACAGTATTTAATCGGGATTCCCGATCAAGAACCACCGATAAACTTCACGATCCACGAACACAGGACGTGTAGGTATCTCATTAAACAGCTTCAGGCAAGTTTCAACGAGTACACATGCTTTCCGACTCCAAATGGCGAACTGATCCTCCCAACGCATCCCTAAACCGTCGACGCAGACCTAACACAGAGGACGGTACATAAACCTAGCTGAAGATTAGCCTTACGTAACGATTCATAATGCTCTTCCGTGGCCTCGCGGAGCACACTGATTCAACAAGTTTACGCGCCGATAAATCTGTGAAATTAACGAACCGCGGGCACAGTGACAAGCTTTACGACAACTTTTATTGTCTAGCCGGCCTTAAGCGTTGCTTCCACGGCCGTTCCCGCGCGCGGACTAGTGGACTTTCCTCCAAGGGAAGGGAGTCGACGATTGGGAGGAGTCGACTGCCCAGGGATCTTCCTCGGGACGAAATAAACGTCTCGCGAGGACGAAGGATGGTCGAGAGTCCTTCCCGCGTTTATCGTTCCGCGAGGCTGCCAGGAGTCCTTCGGACGAGTTAATCGTAAATCAAACGCGTTATTGCTGCTGGTCTCAACCGTTGGAAATCGTTGCTCGGACGAGGAAACTTTGAGAAAAGTGGAGGAGATCGTTGTATATATCTGAGAAGACATTTTTAATTGCATCGAGTTGGTTTCCATCTTGAATTTTAGTTTGGGATACTAGATGGCTACCTTTTTATGCTAGTATGTTATTTTTCATCGAAAACTATACGAAATTATATTCCCGACATCTTTGAAGATAACGTAACGCGATTGAAACTTTAGCTGTATCCACGGGAATAGGAAAGAGTGCTATAAATCCATTGTCCACTCCTTTTTCTCGCCGAATAGGAAGAATACGGGGAGTCTCCTGACGTTAATAACTTGGTCGTAAATATTATTATGATTGCACGTGGCTACTAAGGAAGCTTAGGGTTTCATTATTGTTTATCGACTAGTGGAGCGGAGCAATCTCCAGGAAGCTCGCAATTATCGTTTGGACGTTCGATTGTCCCACGCGGTTGGATTCTCAAGAAATTGAAAAACCAAACGCGTATGTTATAAAGCTTCCACGCCCACAGTCGCACGTAAACAAAGAAAATAGACATTTTATAACTACCACTATCGAGATCCTCTTCCAACGAAACATTGTAAGCCAGCCTCGAATACGCAGTTCGCGTGAAATATTTTCATGGGAAAAGGAACCCCAATGATCCCGGATTTTCCTGCTCGACGCTCGTCGGCGCCAATAATTCACCGCGCAAACGCGATCCAGCAACCGCGCCGCGAGGGTCGTTCGTAAACGGCGAACGTGGCTGTAATTGCGAATAAATCAAATCGTAACGAACAACAACGGTGTTATCCGCCACGCTGATCTGCCAGGGTTGGACATTACGCAGAAATCCCGCGTCCAGCCGTTTAACACCGTCCTCCATCATAAGCGGCGGAACCGCCGTCCGCGAGGCTTCTATCCGCGCGAATCGTAGGGCCAAACTTCGCGAAATATGCCGGGTATTAATGTGCTTGGTGACTAGAGAACGATATATACGGGTAACGTGTTCACAGAAACGTTTATCCGAGAGATTTGTGCCCTCTGCGACCCCTGGCGAAAGGACGGAACACCTCCTGACCGTGGGCCTTAAATTAATTTTATTTACGGAGATCTCAGATGGAATTATTAAGGATTCGCGTATTTAAGTCAACGATGTTTTGTGTATCTGGTTCTTAAAATTCTCCGCTTAATAAATAAACAAACATCGGAATTCTAACTTTGAAAATAAATCGCACTCCTTTCTGTAGAATTCCCGAGACCATTGAAATATCCAGATAATATTAGGAATCCTCCATGAATGAGACCCAGCCTCGAAGGATATTTTCTCGATCAATCAGACCGATTTATCGCCATCGGACCGAGACAATGATCGAGGATTCTGTAGCCTGGAACCCAGAGCCTGTCGAAGGAAGTATAAATTAACTCCCGCAGAAAATCCGCGCCGGATCGTAAATTAGCGCGCTGGTACATCGCAGTGAAAGTCATTTTACCCATTCGTAGTGTGGATCGTTCGCGGGTGGGGAGCTGTTAAATAATATCATCGGAAAAGCAGTTTGTTCCGCACGATCGCGCATGGACGGTGCTCGAATCGCGGTTAGTTTCTCGCCTGCGATTGGCTCCTTTTCCGCATCGATTCTTGAACGCTTAGGAAATCTACACGATGACGAGCCTCTGTCTAATCCTCGAAACAGTTGCGGGACCATTTCACGGGATTATCGAGCCATGTTTCTCAGGAGCGAAGCTTTATTGAGGAAACCGCGAAATGTACTACGGTCAAAGTTGGATCGAATTGTCGTATATCTCTTTGGAAATTGGAAACCCGAGGGCCACCATCGTGAGAGAAATCTATCTTTATGACCAGTAGGCACAACTTGAAGAAAGAAAATATTATATTCATATCTTGAGCTGAATTTAGGGATATAGTATGTCAACGAGCACGTCAAGAAATTTGCTACTACATACAAAAATAAAATAACAAATCATCCCAACGAACTAGCTAAGATGCTAAATCGAGCATCAAAAAATGAGAAGATTAAAGAGAGAAAAGCTCACTGATCTGCAAATGTAAATGTTAAATTTTAATTACTGGTGGAAACGCTGTTGAGCGTCGTCCATACACGTGACACCCACACAGATCAAATTTGCTAATTGGCTCTAGAATCAAGTTGTAAATTTTCTGCTAATAAAAAGAAAAATATCTCGAGCTATAATAACGCACGATCTTCCTTGAAATTAGATTCGTCAACTTCACTGTTCCTACGTTTCTTAATCCACCAATTTGGGTTCTCAGAGAAAGAATGCTATTTTATGAAACAACTGACCATTCTTTCATTTATCTGTTTCAGTATTTTGCCAAAGGCCCGCCTGACATCGAGGAACCCTGAACAGTACCGCGGTCCTTCCATTTCACTGTTCAAATCAACCGATTCAGTGAAATTTTGGTAAGAAACCTATTTTTCAACAGCCTCTCGAGGAGCTATCCAAGTAACTTCCTCGACTTGTCGGGAACGCGCTGGAGGGCTGGCGGTGAACTGGTCTCGAGGACTGACAGCCACTCGTAGCGTTAATCAAGGGCGACGCGTTAAAGAGAAACGGCGGAACAAACGCAGCCAAGCCCTAGTGGCTGACGTCTAACTCAAGGATAGGTCGAGAGGAAATTAGTGTTCCTCGGCGGCCGCACATCCTCGGTATGCGACGTACTTTCGGGGATGTAGTCTCTCTCTCGAGGCGAGAGGGCGTCTTAGCGTTATTGGTTTTACCCTCGAGACTTCCCGTGGGAGGGGGTTGCTCCTTAAATGGAAGCCGGTGGAAACACGGGAGACTCGAGAGAGCGAGAAGTGGGTTTTCGAATGCCCCTTTCCTACCACCGACAACGAGACTACTTCGCTTAAGTAATTAGACTGCCGACCGTTCGTTACCTCAGTCATTTCTGAAGAGGAGAACGAGAAACTGCCGGGGCAGCTTTCTCGTTGATGCGCCGTACATCCGTTCTGGATGTACCTTCGCCCTCTTGGTCCTGTCCAATTTTTACTTTCAACGAGGAATAAACTTTGAGATTTACACGCAGCTTGGTAGTTTGACTCTGTGGAGGATTATAATTTGCGACCAGGTGCAGACAAAGAACGCTGAACAGAAAACTCTTTAAACGAATCGCGTCAGGTGCTCGAGGCACGTTCGAGCGAAGAAGTGACAGAGGGCATAGGCTAGGACCTATGTCATCGCAACCACCTGCCCCCGCAGGAATAAAAGTTCCTGTCTCCAGTTTTCAGAATATTTCCACCTGTCTGACCTATGATTCCAAAGAAGAGTCCTCCAGGCTCGAAGTACTCCCTTGAACTCGCTACACCGATGCCATTGCAACATTGGAAATGCCTAACAGGGAGCACAAACGACTGCCAAGTCGAAAAAGTAGATATATTCTCACAGATGTTCATCCGGGAACAAAACCGAGCCAACGACTGTTTTTCGCCTCGTTTTGCGGAAAGACGTTTCTTAACGATCGCTAATTATTTCTTGCCTCGGATTTGATGGATGTAATTCAATTGGCTGAAAAACTGGTCGAATCGAGAACAATTAAACTGCTTCATCATTGTCCTGTCAACTCGGCGACAATCCAGAGAGCATTTTGTCGCCGAAGGACGGCGTGTCGTTCGGCGCGCGCTTCGACGTCCTCCTCGTTCAATCCTTGACGACAGCCACCGACGATCCACCGCCTCTTCCAGCGTTTATCCCCCTTTGCAACGCCGTACAGCCTTTGCGTAACGAATCGTAGAAACGCGGCTCGCCTCGATCGCGCGGTTTCGCTGCTTGAATCGCGCGTCACGTTGCTTTTAATTGCACTGGTATCGGCGGGGACGGAAGGGACCGCTGGCTGGAATCGGTTGGAGGAGATCGGCTGGATTGTCGTCGGATTCCGGCGATTAGCGGAAAAAGAGAGAACGAATCTAGCGAATCTTACCTTTAAGGGGGTGCTCCTTGTGGCACTTCTAAAAAATTGAAGTCTTTTTATTCTGTATTCCGTTGTAACTAAGGGACTTGAAATTATTTAGAAATGAGTTACGCCCATGAGTCAGTGGAAGTACTATCTACTCCAAACAAATATTTATCCCTGAAGTGCATAAAAAATTCTATCTTTTATGGTAACCTTCTCTTAAGCTCCTACACTATTTGAAATGAATCGTATAAGGTACTTCATTCAACAAAGTATTGCAGATAACGTTGGACCAAAGAGTATCCTACAATTTTTCTGCACAATCACACAGAAAATTCTCAGCTAGAGCTTTTCAAGTAAAAAAGTTCCCAATTTACCCGCTGGACAGGTTCCATATCACCATAGAAGTTTATCGCGTTGTGAATTCCTCCTCTGTTAGTTCCGAGAACGAAAAGAAATCTGATAGATGTTTCGAAACGTGCTACGTGCACCGAGTTTCGGTTGGTACTCGTCTATTCGCGTGTCACAATACACTTCGAGTACCGAGAAAATGACTGGACGTCTTCGACAGTCTCTGAGCTCGCGTCTCGACTCAACCTGCCGAGGATGGAGACCGTTTCTAATAGATTCCTTGAAGTAAGAGTAAGAGGAACGCATCGACTCAAGCATCAAGTCCTCATAAATTTGCCACGCGTTCTTGCAAAACGCCGTAGGAACGTTCTGTACTTTTTTTTCCAATCCGAAGGTAAACTGAATCGCGTTTCCTAAGACGATCGCGCGTGTATCTCCTTCGCGCACACGGGCGGACTTTAAATAGAAACGTCAAATTGCGGGGAATATTTATCGTGACGTCTCTGGTGAAAAGTTGCTTGAACCAGTCCGCGCTATTTTGTTATGGCCGCTGATAGGCGTTTGAAACCCTGGATTATCGGAGTTCCGAGGAAAGACGCGAGCTTACACGGTGTTACAGAGTGATTCCAGAAACTGGTTTGGTATGAAGTTCTTTTCTGAAGCAAACTGGAGACATTAATAATAATTACCTAGTTGCTTTCTTTTTGAATAATTTCAGTAATTGAATACCATGAAATAACAAATATTCAGTAGCTCCATTTATGAACCATGTTGCACTCCTACCATTGCACTAAATACAGAAAATTATACCTTTATAAAAGAATGCAGCTACAACTGCATATTCCACTTGCACCGTAGCACTAAAATAAAGAATTCCAAATTAATCCTTCTCCTCCACTCGAGAAGAAGCAGCAGCTACCTTTGAGACTCCTTCTAGAATCACCCTCTCCATGAGCTTCCAAGGAGACTTGGTGCACTGAAGAAAGAACCTACACTTCTTAGACCCGCGGACCTGATACGACCCGGTATCGATCGAGGATCGATGGAGCGAGGAGTCAGCGCGAAGTAAGTCGTACGACTATGAATTGCGTCGTCGTGGCGCGTACGTGCAACGATCCTGGCCTGTTCTTAAAGCGCCACTAAAGTTGCGCGTCACGTTCCTTTTAATTACGTCTGCCAGCATCGCGTCGACGGATACGAAACGACGGAATAGCAAGTCCAGGGGACGAGGGGGACGCTTAAGAATTCATTAACGATACCAGCGCGACCAACTGGAGCTGCCCGAAGTGGGACAGGTGCTGGATCATACTCGAGAACACTGCGAAGCAAAACTGTCGTCGAGTCGATAGAGAGACCCATATTCTTGCAACGACGCAGGTGTCTGAAGAGTTGGAATGCTCTGTTGTAATGTACCAGGGGGCTAATCTACTCGCTGCTCATCGCCTGCAAGCACTGCGTCAGAAGAGCAAACACCGTCCTGTCTGCGTACCTAATTTAGCACCGAGACTGGCACTAGGTCGTCCTCTGTGTGGTTGCGATTAACTCGTGAATCACGGTACTCGAAGAAGTGGCCAAGATACAGCTAATCTCCAGGAACGGTT